GAGAGAGAGAGAGAGAGAGAGAGAGAGAGAGAGAGAGAGACTATGCAAATGTCCTCTGCAATTCCTGAACTAGGGAGGCTGAGGCATAGGGATGTAGTAGGCCAGCCTCTGAAACTCTGGGGATTGGGCTTGGGGGGTGGGGGGGCAGAAGAAATTCCGAGGAAACTGATGATTTTGGCAATACTTTCTTGGATTTTACACCAAAGATACATAGTAGAAGAAAAGTTGGAAAAGTTAGACTTCAGCAACTTTGAAATCATCTGTGATCCCAGCTGCCTGGGAAACTGAAGCAGGAGGATGGATCACTTGAGCCTACAAGTTTAGGACTAAACTGGGCAACACAGGGAGATACCCTTTTCTGTTTCAAAATATAATGAATAAGCTGTTTGGCCTGAATGGTAGCAAAAGCCTGTGATCCCAGAACCTAGGAGGCAAGAGCAGAGGGATCAAGCAAGTCCTAGGTTAGCTTGGTCTACATATCAGAACTTTGTCTCAAACAAAGTCAAAGAAAAAACTTTTATTAAATAAACAACATTATCAACAGATTAAACCCACAGAATGGTTAAGAATGAAAATCACATATGGGTATTAATATCTATAATGAAAAACTAGACTACAAACTAAGACATGGGCAAAGCTCTTGAATAGACCTCTCTCCACAGACACAAACAAGAGGTCAGTGTGCACATGGAAAAACACTCAGCATTCCTGACCATTAAGATGTCCATCAAAACCACAGTGAACAGTTCTGCTGCTGCAGCTCTGGAAAGAGTGCAAGGCCAACCAGTGATCATAGGGAGAGTGGTCCTGTCTCAAAAAAGGTCCTGGAAGCCAGGCATGCGATACCACACCTTCAATCCCAAGAATAGAGAAAAGGAGGCAGGCAGATCTCTGTGTATCTGAGACCAGCCTGCTCTAAGCATCAAGTTTGGGGAAGCCATACAGTGAGATCCTGTCTCAAATTTTAAAAAAGAGGAGTGGGGCAGGAATGGAAAATGCCCACTAAGAAAATATGGAAAACCTTGCTAGTAGACTCTGTTGGACACCTGAAGTGAAGACCCAACTACAGGTGACTGTTGATAGACACAAAAGTGAAGTTCTGGCTTTTTGTTGTTGTTGTTGTGTTTTGTTTTTGAAACAGGTTCTCTTTTCTTTACATAGTCCTGGCTGTCTTGAACATATTATGGAAACTAGGCTGGCCTGGAACTCACAGAGATCCACCTGCCTCTGTCTCTCAGGTACTGGGATTAAAAGCTATCCCACCTGAAAAACAACTGAATGTCACTCTGCAGCTCAGGCTAGTCTTGAATTCTTGATCCTCCTGACTCCATCTTCCAAATGCTGGATTGCTCCAAATATGATTAGTCAATTCTGTGTACCCTACATAAGCACATCTGCACATGTGTGCACACACTCAATCAAAAATATACACATAAATAGATAAAATAAACTTGGGAGATATGAGACAGGGTCTCACCATGTAGTCCTAGCTGTCTTAGAAGTCACTGTGTAGATCAGGCTGGCCTTAAAACTCACAGATAGTTAACTGCTTCTTCAGTCTGAGTGCTGGAATTAAAGGTGTGGACCGACACACATGGGAAAATAAACCTTTAAGATTACACACAAGCTGGCATGGTAAGGCATGCTTCTAATCTCAGTAACCTAAGGAGGCAGACACAGCTGAAACTGTGAGTTTCAGACTAGCCTGGTCTATATAGCAAATTCCAGGCCAGCCAAGAGGTACATAATGAGATTCTATTTAAAACACACACAGACACACACGCACATGCATGCACACAGACACATAGACACACAGACACACATACACACACACATGCCCGCATGGCTGGAGAAATGGCACTGTGCTTAAGATTAAGAATTCTAGTTTAAGATCTCAATTCCAAGCCCTTGAGTAACTGTTCACAACTGTCTGTAACCCATTTCTAGGAGATATGTCGCCCTCTTCTGGGCAGCAGGCACACAAAGTAGTGCACAGACACAATGCAAGCAAAACATCCATACCATGGAATGAAATAATCATTTTTAAAAAGAAAATATGGATTTAGAGGCAAATAGACCCAGGTAATAATCTAGGGAATTCAGGCAAGTTACTTTGCCTCTATAAACTCACTTCATAAAAGTAATGTTCAAGGTTGGACAGGTGGCTCAGAGATTAAGAACACTCGCTGCTCTTCCAGAAGTCCTGAGTTCAATTTCCAGCAACTCACATGGTGGCTCACAACCATCTATAATGTGATGTGGTGTCCTCTTCTGGCCTGCAGGCAAACATGCAGGCAGAACACTGTATACATAGTGAATAAATCTTTTTTTTCTTTTTTAAAGTGATGTCTCTTAGCATAGCACATCCCGTGTGGCACCATCTGGAGGATGGGATTGTTTTTGCTCTTTGTTTATCTGAGGCAGCATCTCTCACTCTGTACGCTAGACCAGCCTTGCTATGTAATCCAGGTCAGCCGTGGCACAGGATCTTGGAATGTAGCCAGGCTAGCCTAAAATTCCTCCCTGGGCTGGGATTGCAGACAAGGTCATAGTCTGCACTAGAATGTGTCTTTGTACAAGTTCGCAGGGGTGCAGTTCTTTCTGTCCGTCCAAAACATACTCTGTGACGTGCCAACAACACACAGTGAGGACTGAATAGATATCCTGACATCTACGACTTTTCCCCTAGTGGAGTTTTCCACTGGTCTGAACTTGCCTTATCATTAGAAAAGAATTCTTCTCTTGGGATCCACTTGTCAGAAGAAAATGCTAAGCAAGATGAGACGTTAAGTTTCACAGAATTTTTTTCCTGTTGAGACAGGTTGACGTGGCGGGGGACTCACCATCCTCCAACAGGTAGAGAGTCTTGCACCATCGCCAGGCGAAGGAACTTTATTTTTTTTTTCCATAGTCATGACGGTGGGTGAATTAACTTCGTGAACAAAGTCGTGAATAACGTGTAGGTTTAGGAGAGAATGCTCAGAAGGTAACTCCAGAGGGGCAGCCCGAACTTCCGGGAACCAAGGGCCCGGCTCAGTAGACGGAGGAGGCAAGGCTACCTCTACTTGTCGCTCCAGGAGACGAGCCGCGGCTCAGCCAGCAACGAAACGTCAAATCTCGGCTTTCCTCAGAGGGGCTGTGGCTCGGTCTCCACAGCGCCTCCTCGCGCACTGGTCGCCTCCGGGACGCACTTGTCCCTTCTCGCTCACCATACCTAGAGCCTGACGGAAACTTCCGTCACTTCCGCCCACCGGAGGACGCTCGCGCTGAGGCGTCGCTAAGCTTCGGAGCCGACCGCTGCGTGGCCGCCGATTGGCTGCGTGCGCACGACGTAAGGGCCCCGCCCCTCCCTCCGCGGCGCCTGCTCCGTGGAGCTAGCGAGCCGGCTGCTTGGCAGAGCGAGCCGAGCCTCGGCGTGCCACGGGACCTCGCTGCCTAGACTGTCGCTGCCGCCCCGCGCGCCGAGACCCGCCATCCCAGACCCCGACTTCCTTTGGCTCGGCCCGCGCGCCTCACGCCCGGCTCGGGCGGCGCGACGGGAGGATGAGCGGCGGGCGGCGGAAGGAGGAGCCGCCTCAGCCGCAGCTGGCCAACGGGGCCCTCAAGGTGTCCGTGTGGAGCAAGGTGCTGCGGAGCGACGCGGCCTGGGACGACAAGGTGCGGAAGGCCCGGCGAAGGAGGACGGGCCCGGGTCTTCCTCGCCTCGGCCGGTCGGGCGGGCGCGGCCGTGGGAGCAGGGAGCGGGGTGGCGAGGGTGCCGGCGCGCAGTGGAGCGAGCCGAGCTCCTGCCGTCCTCCGCCGTTTGCTCCGCAGGATCCGGAGTAGTTAGCGCTTCTTGAAGACTGCGCACGTGCCGGGTGCGGAATCCCCGAAGTGGGTTTAGTTTGCACTTTGGGAGGGGTGGTTCTGCCCTTGCTCGATTAGATGAAAAAGAAGACGTGCTCTGTGAGCTTTAAGACTCGAGAGCCGGGTCTAAGATCACCTTAGGAGGGTGTGATTTAGTAAGAAAGTCGCTAGACATGGGTAAGAAGAGGTGGAGGACTTAAAGATGCACTCGCTGGTCATCTTCAGAGGATCTGAGCGTGGACGCCTCCTACCTTTGCTCCATTCCGTGATCTTCAAGACGGTCACCATGCAGCCTGATTCTAGATGGTTTGAAAAGAATGCTATATTTGGACTCTTTCCGTTGTTTGGACTCCGAAATTGGGCTTTCCTTCCTTCAGTTCCGCCATGGAGGGGGGAGTACTTCCTGAAGGTGCCCTTGGCCTGCCCCCAGCCCTGCCCAGCTCTTGCAAAACCTATAGTCTTTGTGATCTGCTGTGTCATATTTTATCTTTCCTGGTCCAAGGACTGGTGTCTGGAGTCCAGGGCAGTTCACAAACCTGAGTGCTCTTTGTTGGGTGAAACGTAGATGTGCTGGCACGGGCCTAAAGGACTTACCTCTCCACCACCATGCTTTCCTTCCTCTGTGGCTTTCTCAAAAGTCACTGTACAGGAAGGGCGAGTATTGAGGTTAATAGTTTTTCTTCCTGGAGACTGTCTAGAACTTAGCTGGTCAGGTAAGGGTTATATGTGGCCAGGAGCACAGTGCCACAGTCACTTCAAAACAGTTTCATTTATGCAGCTTCTTTCAAAGAAGTAATGATTTCTCTAAAATATAGTTAGAGTACAGGCTCTGAAATTAATCACTTAATGTCTAAATATATCATTTGCCACCGCACTGTAGTAGAAGAAATGACAGAAGAACCACATACGGAGGAAGGTGGTGGTGGTGCACACTTTTAATCCCAGCACTGGGAGGCAGAGGTGGAGGATTCTCTAAGTTGCAGGCCAGCCTGGTTTACAGAGTGAGTTCCAAGACAGCCAGAGCTACACAGAGAAACCCTGTCTTGAAGACAAACAAACAAAAAAGAGCCACGGATGGGGACTAGATAGAGAGAGGCCTCAGCAGTTTAGAGTGGGCTCCAATCCGGGCACACACATGGTGAGTCAACTCCAGTTGGAAGGGATCCAGTGCTCTCATCTAGCATCCATGGGCAGCAGGCACATACATGGTACACATGTGTACATTAAGATAAAACATACATATAGAATAAATTTAGAAAAAAAGAGAAGAACCACATTCCAAGCTAGACATAGTGGTATACACCTTTAATTCAATACTCTTGAGCCAAGGCCTAGTCTACATAGCAGATTCGAGGCCAGCCAGGGCTATTGAGATTGTAGGAAATATTTAATAAGCTTTTGCTTCTTCACCTGTAGTTGTCCTGTAGCAGCCACTCCAGATAATGCATACATTGTGTCTTTTCTATAGGATGAATTTTTAGATGTGATCTACTGGTTCCGACAGATCATCGCTGTGGTTTTGGGTGTCATTTGGGGCGTTTTGCCCTTGCGAGGCTTCTTGGGAATAGCAGGGTAAGTCTTGGGTATCACAGTTCTGTGGTTTTGTCTGTCTGAGACAAGAGCTCACTCTGGAGCTTAGAACCTAGAGTAGCTCTCCTGCCTTGGCCTAACACATGCTAAGATATTAGCAAGCAGCTGTGCTCAGGATCCTCATTTCTATTTCTTTTTTTTTTTTTAAATCTTTTTTAAAGGAACAGGTTGCCCCTTGAACTCCTGCTCCTCTTGCCTCCTTTCCCAAGTGCTCTTGATGCTTACAGGCATGTGTCAGTATGCTTGATTGACTCTTGGATTCTTTTCAGGTAGAGGCTCTGTTTGCCTTTTATGACTGGCACTGTGTGCATCTGATTACTAAGGCAGAGAAGTCAGCATTAGCACTCCTGGGCTGGTACAGTGTCCTTAGTTCCTCAGCTGGGAGCATCTCATGTCAGGCTGCTGTCCTAAAGACTGGGCCAGTCTGTTTATTCATGGGTCTAACATGCCTTCTTGCAAGTGGGTTACGTTACTTATTGGCAACAACCGAGGCCTGTGTGGAGGTCTGGGAAGTAGAGGAGCTTTGTAGTTGATGACCTTTTGTTTTCTGCTTTGTAGTTTGTTTGACAAACAGCCCTCAGCTTTGGCAGGAGTTACTTTTGAGGTCCCTACATTTAAAAGTGGAGGCTTGGCTTTGTACATTTTACTTTACTCCTGGCCAATGACAACATCCGTGACACCTGCTCATGGTTTAGTTTAGCCAGTTAGTGAAAGGAAGTCTGTGCCAGTGAAACTGCATTTAAATGCAATAGGAAAAGCCTTAGAATGAGCTCTTATAGAAGTGAGGAAGGAGGTTTGCCTTTTCTGTCTTCACATAGGGAATATAAGTGAGCACTCTCTTGTCTCACCCCTTCCCCATGGAAAGCCATGCTGGTTGGTTGAGAGCTAATGGTATCTCTTACTGGTTCTTTTTCTTTATTTCTTTCTTTTTTTTTTAAACATGTCCATTGGTGTTTTGCCTGTATGTATGTCTGTAGGACGGGGTCAGATATTGGAGTTACAGGCAGTTGTGAGCTGCCATGTAGGTGCTGAGGATTGAAACCAGATCCTCTGGAAGTGCTGTCAGTACTCTTAACCACTGAGCTATCTCTCCAACCTCTTACTAGTTCTTTAGAGAGGGAGAAGTGAGTATGTTTCAGAAATAGAGTTGGATAATTTCTTGGACAGTAGTAATCCTAAAGAAATATATGGTAGTCCCTTTTGTTAACAGATCTATTCCAAGACCCTCAGTGGATATTCACAGCCAATTACATATCTCTGAAAAAGTTTAAATTATAAATGAAGAGCTAGCCTGGCGGTGGTGGCGCATGCCTTTAATCCCAGCACTTGAGAGGCAGAGGCCGGTGGATTTCTGAGTTCGAGGCCAGCCTGGTCTACAGAGTGAGTTCCAGGACAGCCAGAGCTACACAGAGAAACCCTGATTCGAAAAACAAACAAAAAAAGAGCTAGACATGATAGTATATGCCTGTACTTAGGAGGCTGAGACAGGAGGCTCTCCATGAGTTTGAGACCAGCTGGACTGCATAGTGAGTTCCTGGCCAGTCAGCCAAGGATATGAAGTAAGATTCTGTCTCAGAAAACCATTTTTAAAAATTACAAATAAATTATCGTGAGAGATTAACAACAGTAACTAACAAAATAACAACTATAGCTGACCAAGGTAGCACACACCTTTCATCCCAGCACTTGAGAGGCAAAGGTAAGCAGATCTCTATGAATTCTAGGCCAGCCTAGTCTACAAAGCAAGTTCCAGGACAGCAAGGGCTGTTACACAGAGAAACCCTGTCTCTAAAAAACCAAAAACAAACAAAGAAAAAACCGAACTATAGTAATATAAGCCATGTAATAATATTTACACGGTTCTTTTCTCTGTCTCAGTGTACCTAATTGTTGTCTACTACTGCTAGTGAGGTTGTTAGATGGCTTTTCTAATGTATCCAGATTGTTAGCATCACTAATTTTGAGGCTGTTACTAAGTAGGGTCAGGGTTGTTTGAGGACAAGCATTGATACTGTCACAGGTCTGATACTCAAGCCACCATTGACTGACAGGAAGGATAATCTCCAGTGTAAATGGAGGGATGATGTGGTGAAGCAGGCCAGCAGATTTCACACAGTCTGGAGTGGCAAATGCATTGTATTTACATGGCACATGTTGATTTGTGGAATTTCCCATCATCCATGATTGAGGGTAGATAACTGGAACCACACAAAAACTGAGGAAGAGGGACCTACTATTTTGTACTCAGCAAGGCATTATATAAGGAAACCATTAAGAGTTCATGCTGTGGATGCTTAAGATGAGTCATGGGTGACGAGATCAGTTCTTTCTAGGTGGATGAGAGAAAGGTAAAGGTAGAATGCTGATCACCTCACTTGGCAGAGAACAGTGCCAGAGGCTGAGGAGGCTGTCCACCAGTGTAAGGGAGGATGGTGCTAGTTCAGAGCTCCTGCACCTATCAGGTCTTACAAGACGTTTTTCTCTTTGCTACACAAACATGCAATGTATGTTCATACAGAGGCCAGAACAGAATGCCAGGTGTCTTCCTCTATTGCTCTGTGCAGTGTTGCCTTCAGACAGGGTCTGTCACTGAACCAGTAGCTCACCGCTCCAAGTTAGGCAGGCGTGCCAGTGAGCTCTCGAGGCATGCTTGTTTGCAGCCTCTAATACTGGGATAACAAGTATATGTTGCCGTGACTGGGCTTTTATGTGGATGGTCGGGATTTGAACTCCAGGCCTCATGGTTATAGAACTAGTGCTCTGAACCAGTGAGGTTTCGTCACAGCCCTTAAAACATTAAAAATATTTTTGTTTTTTTATTAGTTTTCATGGCAATCATATCAACTCAAGGTGTTGGTTCTCTCCTTTCACCATGTGGAAACCTAGAGGTTGAGCTTGGGCCAGCAGGCTTGGCTGCAAATGCCTTTGCTCACTGGGGCCCTTTTGTAAGATTTAGTTATGGTTTCCTTTTTTGAGATGGTGACTTAACTCTGTAACTCTGGCTGCTTGGAACTCACTTTGTAGACCCTGCTGATTTTGAAGTCACAGAGATCCATCTGCTTCTTTCTGCTTTCCTAGTGCTGGGATTAAAGGCATGGGCCACCATGCCGGGCCCTTCTGTAGGATTCTGAAAAGATTTCTCTGAAGGCAAGCAGTCTGGGAATGATCTGACAAGTACCAGAGTAATTCATTCCAAACAAGCCTTTAAAAACTTCATAAAAAAACTCTGCATTCAAAGTCTGGGTCTGCTACTTTGAAGCTATATAGTCTTGAGCTTACTTGAGATCAGTTTCCTCATCAGTAAAATGGGGACAAGGAGTGACTGACAGGTGAATTAAATGGGATGGATGCGTGAGTAACTTACTAAATGGAAACCAGCTCATCAGGCATCCTGGGAGTCTGTCCGCTGCTATTGTCACGGGAGTAGATTTACAAAAGGTGGTAAAATGTGCCTGCGAGAACAAGAGGCGGAATACATTTTGTACTGACTGGCCAGTGTGTGTGGCTGCTGTGCCAGACAGAGCTGCCCGTTTCTGGGATTTGGTCCACACTGTGACCGCAGCCAGTTTCTCACCCTGGACAAACCCAGACTTCCTCTGGGTTGGCACTTTCCCCTGCTTTGGAGAGGCCGAGAACTTTGATTTGTTCTCTGTTCCAGTCCCCAGTTTCCTTTGCTTTAGGGCTGACCTCCTGGGCCTCATCTCTAGTGAATTTCCCTCCTCTCCAGTTCAGCTGCTCTCTGTCCAGCTCCCATCTTGCTTTATTTCATTCTGTTGTGGCAGTTACAGTAAACTCATGCTTCCTTTTTGTACTTTGCCTGAGAACTGGCTGACAGCTCTTCTGTCTAAGGTATTTCATTGACGGCCCGCCTCTGGGTGTCAGCTCAGCCTAGGGTCAACGTGTGCTCACTTAATGCTCAGTCTCCTTTAAACTGTTCCATTTATACATATATATTACATGCATTGATTTCATGTGTATGAGGGGGCATTTATCCGTTAGACATAAGGGAACAACTTGGAGGCAGTGCTATCCACCATGTGGATTGAACTGTATTGATTGCAGTGATTGAACTCAGATTGGCAGGCTCAGCCTTAACCACGAGCCATATCACTGGCCCTTTTGTTGTTGTTTATGTAGTGGACAGGGACTCACTGAATTATACAGGCTGACCTTGGACTTAATCTTCTTCCTCATCCTCCCAAATACAAGAATGACCTTGAACTATTAATTTGTTTCCACCTCAGATACTGGGTTTTACATGCTGTGTGACTCTCTTCCTCATTTACTCAGTAGATGATACTCATCATGGAAACACAGTTAGGATGAGGCCCTTCTAGGGCTTTCTCAAACCTGCCTCTAACTTCACTTACTGTAGATTTAAATGCCTTTATTTCTGTGGTGTCTGTCTGCATCAGGTATCACTTCTGAAAGGAAGTGCCCGTGTCAGCCTTTTCCTTGTCACACTACTTACTGACTCCATGGTCCTTCTCCACATCAGCTTATTATCACTGTGGGCTAATCTGGTTTGGTTTTTCCAAATCCATCTCCTTACCCCCCCACCCCATGACAGGGTTTCTCTGTGTAGCCTTTACTGCCCTAGAACTCACTTTGTAGATCTGGCGAGTCTCGAACTCACAAAGATCAGAATGCCTCTGGGATTAAAGGCATGCAGGACCATTGCCCGGCCTTTTTTAAAGAATTATTTATTTTATATATCAGATGTTTTGTATACACATAACATCTATCTGCACATCAGAAAAGGATCTCTGATCCCATGAAATTATAGTTATATATAGTTGAGAGCTACTGTGGTTGCCAGGAATTGAACTCAGGAACTCCAAAAGAGCAGCCAGTGCTTCTAACCACTGAGCCATTCTTTTATTTGTTGTTGTTTTTTTGAGACAGGGTTTCTCTGTATAGCCCTGGCTATCCTGGAACTCACTCTGTAGACCAGGCTGGCCCTGAACTCAGAAATCCACCTGCCTCTGCCTCTCAAGTGCTGGGATTAAAGGTGTGCTCCACCACAGCCCGGCTTCACTGAGCCATTCTTATTCTAGCCCAGACTGGCCTTGAAATTCCAGCAGTCTTTCTTGCCTCAGCCTCCAAATATGGCACAGGTGACCATTTCCAGTTTCTTAATTATCTAAGCTTTCCAGTTCAGTCTCCAGCTAGAACCAGTAAGTCAGCCTGTCCAAAAGAAAGGTCCTTTAGGGGAGAGGAGGTGGCTAGATGCCAAGATTTCTGGCAGAAGATGAGGGTGTGGCTACAATATAGTCAAAGGCCTTGTTTCTTTGAAATCCAAGAACTGTTGCCCCACAGGCCGTTGGGTTTTAAATGCCTTTGTCTCATCTTACCTCTTCAGCCACATGCTCATCCCCAAGACACATTTGCTCTCCAGTCCTGAAACATAAGTAACAGATGTAAACCAGACTTCCCCAATCCTGTTCCTTCCGCTCAAGAGAAACCAGTGTATTACTGTCCACAAACCAGACTTGTGAAGCCTGTACACCCAACCCTCTCACCTCCCATAGGATACCAGTGATTCCACCAAACATCGGTGTACTTCCTTGCACCGGTCTGTGTTTCATGCCTTGGAAACAATCTGCATCATCCCCCCACACACACCTACACATACACACACCCCTCCCCCTTCCTTTCTATTCAGTGTGTTCAGTTTCTGTATCCGCTCAGTACATCCTAGGGTCAGAGGCTTCCCTGGAGTGGGGGTTGGGTTCATAAACCATCAGTTTCAACTCCATTCCCATTGCTGTTCTTAGCCCCTAATAGATGATAAACTAGAGGCAGGGGTATCCGGATTACCTCTTTGTTGAGTATATCTGTCCCCTGACCCTCCTTCAGCTTGGAGCTATGTTGAGGCTCATGGCTGGTATAGGTCTTATTTAGGGTGGCACGACAGCCATGCTGATTTCTCCTCAAGGAGGCTGAGAGGAATTCTGTGGGCTTTACATTGGAGAATGAGTGAGTGTGGTGGTGTGCTCCTTTAATCCCAGCACTCAGGAGGTAGAGAAGCAGGAGACCTCTTGTGAGCTTAAGGTCAGCCTGGTCTTCATATAGATTTCCAGGCCAACCAAGGTTACATAGTGAAACTCTATCTCAAAAAAAAAAGTAGATGGAAGAATTGGGGCAGTGCTAGGATTGGAACTCAGAGTTGAATGTTGTAGACAAGTGTTCTGCCATTGAGACCTGCTCATGCTTTAAATGCTTTATTTCATGCTTTTGGCTAAAAGTAGTTGTTCCTTCCTTAAATCTCCAGCTTGGCTGGGTAGGCAGCTCCACGTAAGGTCTAGAGATTTATGTACTATTTGTTTCGCTCCTCCAACCCTAATAACTATTGGAATTGTGTCATCCTTCCCCTCCCTCCCCCCATTTTATATATGAGGGAGCTGAGGTCCCTCTGGAAAGACTTACTCAAACTCATGATGATGAAGTAAACAGATGAGCCTATCTTCCTAAGCTCGGAACTTCTCTCTGGGAGTCATCCCTGCCTGGGCTGGGCAGAGTGGGGAGATAGCACACATAGGCAAAGAATAAACTGGAACATGGCGGGGAGAGCCTGCAGCCTCAGACCTTTCAGTTTATGTTTGGTGTTTATTTCTCTCACTCCAGATTCTGCCTGATCAATGCAGGAGTCCTGTATCTCTACTTCAGTAACTACCTACAAATCGACGAGGAAGAGTATGGTGGCACATGGGAGCTCACCAAAGAAGGGTTTATGACATCATTTGCCTTGTTCATGGTATGTGTGGCTCGTAGTTTTACAATAGCTTCTCTTCATTTTATGAGATGTCAGGTCACTCAGAGAAAGCACGAGTTGACTTATGAGAGTTCAGACTGAGCTACATAGAGAGACCTTATCCTCCAAAGAAAGGAAAAAGCCAAAAATGTAGATGTGTGTATATGAAATGTGTCCATTATTCATCATAGGGAAAAGTAACCACTCACATGAGGGTCATCTCAAGTGTAAAATGTCTTCTAGCCGTACTGTAAAATGATACTTGTCTGTGGTCCTACAGTACAGGTGAACCTTGAAAGCATTGAGCCAAATGGAAGAATCTAGACATAAAAGGCTACATGATTCCTCTTAGTAAAATGTCCAGAATACACAGGGCCATAAGACAGAAAGTAGGTTAGTGGTTGCCGACCTGAAGGGAGAGAGAGATAGGAAGTAAGTGACCATGGGAACAGACCTTTACTTTGATGTTGGGATTAGTGATAATTATCCTTTATGAATATCCTAATGACCTCAGACTTATGCATTGCCATCTTCATATGGGGGAGGAGCCTGTGCTGATCCAGGTGATGACACGAACGTTGCTTGTGTCCCCACAGGTCATTTGGATCATCTTTTACACTGCCATCCACTATGACTGATGGCGTTTGCTCCCATCTCTTCTGTCCAGTCCAAAGGACCCTTTTATTACAGCACAGTTACATGCTTATTGGGGCACTCACTCCTGCCGTGTGGGACCGAGAAGACCCACGTCTCCTGGACTTAGAATCAGCGTGTTGAGCATCAGTGTTTTCTGCAAGGGTTGTGAAACTTTTCAAAGAACCATCTGCCTTTGGGGAAGCATTTCTGAATTTGTCCATTGTCAACTATTTTTTCTTGGACACCATCATGTAACAGCTGTTTGCCAAGTGGAGCTGCTGTTGAATCTGATGCGCCTCTGGATCCGGATGAAACATTGTCTTCCTTGGTTCTCCGTCAGGTGTACAGTTTTTAAACCATCACTGCATCTCAAGTCTTCTGAAAACACCATGTGCGTGGTCCATGGTACAATACAAGCAGCCATCTAATAAGTTTCCATAGTAGGATGTTTTCAGATACTTGAATAAACAAATCTTTAACTGAAAGTGTGTTGGCATGCCTGGTAAACTAAAGCCTTGCTTACCTACTGACCGTACCCTCAGAACCGAGTAGCAGTGTTCAGCATAGCTCCTGCTTTCCTCCTTCCTTCCTTAGCAGCAGTAGCAGCCAGACTCTTTCTCTTTTGACTGGAGTTGGTGAAGGTTACTGCCTTGGTTTTGGCATTTTGGAGATGGTCCACCTCCTGACCCTGAGATAGGTGACTGGTTTAGATGTGAGATTTGAACGGTGTCATTTTGTGTTTGACCACCAGGTGGCAAGACTGGGGTATGGGGAGGACCCGGCTGTGTTTGGATGAACACTGAGCTTGGCTGAAAGGACTCGATGGGAGACTATGGGAAGATCTGGGTTGTCAGTCTTCCCCTTGCGTGGGAATTAAATGAGGTCTACTATGGTAAAGCCATCAAGTGTTCCTCTTGTCTGTTTTCTGAGCCATCCTACCATCTGAGATATGTTTGCATTCTGAACGAGACTGGTAAATTTTCCTAACATTTCGTCTCTCCATGGAAATGATGATCTCTGCCCGTTTAGTAGGGCTGGTTAGCTGTGGTACTGGATATTCCTCTCAGGAGGTGACGTATCAGACCTCAGAAGTGTTTTACTCTGTAGAGGCCGGGCCCTGCTTTGAACTGTGCTGCACATGGACTAGAAATTGTAGGTGGGGATGAGGCCTTGGGAGACGATAAATGACTTATTAGGTCCAGGTGAGGCCCTGAATGTGTCTGTGCCCCCAAACCCAGCCAACTGCTTGACTGCTTTCAAAGCCTTGCCTCTAGGGAGCTTTGTCAGGGTCAGCTGAGTTGGAGGTCTAGGTGCCAGCCTTGGTTCCCCTTTAGCTTTCTGCTTTAGGACTAGACATCATCCAAGGAGTTCTCCTCAGTCAGGCTGATGTAGGAACTGAGGGATTCTCGGAGCCCCTCACTGAGAAGAGATGCCTCGCCACTGGCAGGTGCTTCCAAAAACAGGAGGCTGCTGTGGATGGGGGAAAGCGGGTGAAGGAGTCACTTCCCCTGTGCTTGCCACACAGTTCATTGCCCTTAGAACAGTACCATGTCACCGATTAACTCAGGTTCCTCATTTCTTAACTGACCTTACTCCATCTTAATTCCCCATTCAGGACTGTGATGGCCCACCCACTCTAACCTTCATCCTACCTTGGCTTCCCTGAGGTCTGTGCCTCCCTTTCCCCTGACACTGCCTTGTCCTCTATAGTGCTCAAGCCTGGACTGGATTCTAGAAGTGTCCCTGAATGTGACAGCCCCATTGTGGATCGTGAGTCTATGTCTTACTCTGCCTTTATATTTCAGATATTCCCCTTACCTGTCCAGCTTTTTCCAATTCAGTGATGATGTTGGCACAGTCACAGGTAGAGGTGTATCTTTGCCAGGTAGTGGCCCAAGCTTCTGCAGGACACAGGGCTCCCTGAGGGCACAGCAGATGCCATCCGCTAGCTCTATGGAAGAAATCCAAACCCATGATATGCTACCTGCCCCCGGAGTTTTCTGTGCTTCGCATATTGAGAGGATGGTTGCCAAAAAGTGATAGGAAGTGAAGTCTCAAGCTATGAGTCTCCTGAGGCTGAGATGTGGTAAAAACGTCAGCTGCAGCAAAGTTACAAATACTTAAGTGTAAAACTGAGAAGAAAGGAAGTAGGGAGTAGTCAGCCTGGGATCTATCATACCTACTGTGTAGAACCACCTTGTAGGAAACCCCAAGTCAACTCTCAAGAGGTGTCCCTCCATACACACAGACACACACCCTTTTTTTTTCCCTCAAGACAGGGTTTCTCTCTGTAGCCCTGGCCTGGAGCTCACTCTGTAGACCAGACTAGCCTGGAACTCAGATCCACCTGCCTCTGCCTCCTGTGTGCTGGGATTAAAGGTGTGCACTACCACTGCCAATAAGGTTTTCCCTTTTGTCTCTTTGACACGAGAAATGCTAGCTAAGGATGGCATTGCACACAGGAATAGCACAGCCTGGTTCCTGTGGGAAGAGCTCAGCATCGGTACACATTGATTTGGAATCACCGTTGCCTGTGAGATTCTGGCCAAGCTCACAGTTGGCCTGTAGTTCTTTGTCAGCATGGGATGTAGGCAGCTCCCACCCACATCCCAGCACAAGGGCTGCATAAGGATAGGTAGCAGAAGGGCCTCCTGTCTAGCTCCAGCAGGTCAAGCGTCTAAGGGCACAACTGACTACCTCCTAGGCCCCTCATCCAGTCTGCAGTGGAGGCAAAATGTACGCCATACATACCAGAGTAATGCTCCACCAGGGCATGGAGTGAGGGGAAGGTGAGGCGAGGGGAGATGTACAGCCAGCCGTTGTCAAGACGCTGTATCCTGTAGTGTCTGATCCGGTCCCAAGATGCAGGGCGGCTGAGTCGGATGGACAGGGAATAGCAGCCTGAGGAGGAGAGGGTCCAGGGTAGATCTGAGGTCCTGCTAGAGACCCAGCCCTGCCTAGGTTTAAAGAAGGAAAAAAACATAGCCACAGCCCAGCCATCAGGGGGGATTCTGAGGTCAAAGGGAGGACAAAGACTATTGGTTGTAATAGATAAGGGTTCTGTGGTCCTCGGGACGGATGAGGGGTGAGCATTAAGTATCGGCTATATGGATAGACTCAGGTGGCACAGGGTTGGGATGAGAAAGTAAGTAGATGCCGGGCAGTGGTGGCACACGCCTTTAATCCCAGCACTTGGGAGGCAGAAGCAGGCAGATTTCTGAGTTCGAGGCCAGCCTGGTCTACAGAGAGTTCCAGGACAGCCAGGGCTACACAGAGAAACCCTGTCTCGAAAAAACAAAAAACAAAAAAAAGAGAAAGTAAGTAGATGTCAGCATGGCCAGAGAGAAAGTCACTTTGGAAAGTTTGACGTTGACAGTTGAGGTATACCTTCACACCCAGCAGTGCCATCTTATACACGGGAAGAAACACCCAGCAGAGCTCTTCACAGATACCTCGCTCACAAACAGCCTGTTTGGGCCAATAGTACAATAAAGTGAAGAGGCTTTACCTCAACGGTAAAGTGTTGGCCTAGTGTGCACGTTGCATCCCCACTACCTCACACAAAGTAGAACAGTGCCTTACAGAACACAGTGCTAAGTATGTAGCAGAGAGCGCTGGGATACACTTGTAACCCCAGTGCTCGGAAGGTAGAGGCAGGAGAATAGAGTTCAAGGCCCTTCTTGGCTACATGGTAAATTTGAGGCCAACCTCAGCTGTCTGAGACCAGACTGTCTCACGAGAAGCAACACTGAGCAGCAACAAGTCACGGAGTCACTCAGCAAGTTGAAAACCGGCGACGGGGGCTGCAGGGATGGGGGCTGCAGGGACGTGTGCTCAGCAGGGTTATGAAGAGGCAGTTGTTCAAGGCCAGTCTGGTCGATACATCGAGGTCTAGGCTGGGCAGGGATGCATAGTGAGACTGTCTCTAAAATAAAACAACTATAGCCATCCCTGAGGAACTGCACTCTCCCAATTCTATGACACCTGTTTTATAAACCAGGCTGTCTAGGTTTCAGTCTCTCATGGAGCCACATTCTGTAGAACCTCGGCCACCCACACCCACCAGCCCTGTTGCTAAGGCACACCATCTGGCACACTGGTCTTTTTGAGACAGGGTTTCTCTGTGTAGCCCTGGCTGTCCTGGAACTTGGTCTGTAGACCAGACTGGCCTTGAACTGCCTGCTTCTGCCTCTCCAGTGCTGAGATTAAAGGCGTGAAGGGGGTTAATGATTATCTTGATCTCAACAGCTGTGAGCATTCAGGTGTTGAACCCTGCTTGGCATGCAGCAAGCACCCGGTATTATCTGTACTCTGACCCTGTGCTCCTGCTGTTCCTTTGTGGTGGTTTGAATATGAATGGTCCCCAAGGTCTCATATTTGAATACTTGGTCATTAGGGAATGGCACTATTACAAGGTGTGACCTCGTTGGGGTAGGTATGGCCTTATTGAAGAAAGTGTCACTGTGGGTAGGCTTTGAGGTTTCAGATGTTTAAGTCAGGCCCAGTGTCTCTCTTCTCTGCTGATCCAGATGTGGAACTCCCAGCCACCTCTCCTGCACCACGTCTGCCTCCATGCCACATGCTTCCCACCACAACAATAATGTACAAATCCTCTGAACTTGTAAGCCAGCGCCAATTAAACATTCTCACCTTCATGATGCATGCCTGCCTTCTCAAGAAAGAAGTCTCCTCGGGCAGTGGTGGCGCACGCCTTTAATCTTAGCACTTGGGAGGCAGAGGCAGGAGGATTTCTGAGTTCGAGGCCAGCCTGGTCTACAGAGTGAGTTCCGGGACAGCCAGGACTACACAGAGAAACCCTGTCTCGAAAAAAAGAAAGAAAGAAAGAAAGAAAGAAAGAAAGAAAGAAAGAAAGAAAGAAAGAAAGAAAGAAAGAGAAAGAAAGTCTCTCAAAGGATGGTTCTGGTAAATCCTGCCGTCTTTCCATCTTCATAGACATCCATCCCTAAGCCCCAGACTCTGGAGTCACTGACTGCTTCCTCTCACACTGTCTTGATTTGGATCTGGAATGCCGTCCCAAAGCCCAAGGTGAAGGCAGGACACCAGTGCAGTAGTATTCAGAGGTGAGGCCTTTTCGAGGTGATGGGATCATGATGGCTCAGGCTTCTCCCAGCAAGCTTTTCTGTTCCCTGGCTGCTACAAAGCAAGCAGCTTTTCTCTATCATGTCCTTTCACCACGAGGCAAAAAACTGGGCTAGGTGACCTTTTTCCTTTTGAGTCCTATTATTTTGTCACGGCCACCAAAAGTTAGCCTGTCATCAGGCCCTCCTGGCTGTGTTCAGAACACACCAGGAATCTGACTACCTCTCAACTAGACAGAGTGAGTGACTGTTTCCCATGTGGGTTGCCACTTCCTGCTTGTCACCTCCTCTTTGGAACCCTCCCTGTCACATTTATAATCAAAATCCTCACCTTTGAAAGGCTTTGAAGAATCTGACCTCTCCCTGATCTGCTCCAGGCTCACTAGCTCTAGGCTGAGGCAGCCTTCCTCAAGGCGTGCACATGCACTTACCCCACTGACACACCCTAACTCTTACTTTCTGGTTTCCTTGTGGCACTTAAGTATGACGGGCACTTTATTTGTTCACTCTCCACTTTGCCATTGAAACTCTGGCTGGGATCTTTTTATACTTTGGATCTTGAGTGTCATACTGTTTGTTTGTTTGTTTGTTTGTTTGTCTGTTTTTTGGACAGGCTCATTATGTAACTGAATCTGGCCTTGAACTGGGATCCTCATGCCGCTGCCTTCCAGTGCTCAGATTATAGTGAGATTCTTGAAGACTTACTACCTTTGCATTTCTTGTGGAAACCACTGGACATTTGCCCCCTGCTGGCCATGGGGCCCTCCGCCCTTTTGAGGGTAGAGTGCCAAGGTGCACACAGGCAGGCCCAGCTGCCCGAGTGGATATGAAGGAACTGGTGGTGTGGGAGGCAAGGTTGGGTGTGTCCTTGGCAGTCTGATATTAAGCAGCCCTCACCTTCCTGTCTGGAAGGCAGTCTACTTCAGCTCTCCATCCTGCCTTCCAGACAGACTCATCCCATTCGCTTCTCCAGCAAACCTCTGCTGAGCCCCTGCTACAGTGCCAGACACTGACAGGCCAGACCTCAGTGTAAGGGATAGTAAGTAGACATGCACTCTCTGCCCGACCATCTCCTCACCAGGGTTGTCCTTGATAGCCCTCACTGGACGAGGAGCTCCTGTGTTCTTCTCATAAAAGCACAACTTTCAGTTTTGTTACAAGAAGCCAATTCACTGCAGCTGCAGGGGAGAAGTGCTCACGATGTCATGGAGTCTCAAAGAGTGACAACAGGGGGCGGGAACGATTGCTCTGACCAGGAAGGATGGGCTCAGGGGAGAAAATAGGGAAAATAGGGGAAAGCATGTTCTCAGAGTACCTGGTGGGCAGTGACGGAAGGCCTAGGGAGGGACCTACCAGACCAAAGGCGGTGTACGTGGTCCTGCACTTCAGGATACTCTAGTAAGCTTAGGCATGCATGCCTGGGACCTCTAGGGTCCATTCCAGTGGTGCTGGAAGGAGTGAGGGATGCCATCAGGATCTACCTGTGGGAAATGCCTAGCAAACCCCTCCTGTACTTCCTCCATTGAGGCATCCTAGGAGCCAATGGTTTAAAACCATTCTTGACCTGTGGGTCATGACTCCTTTGACAAACCTCTGTCTCCAAAAAATATTTACATTACAATTCATAACTAGCAAAATTGCAGTTATGAAGTAGCAATGAAATTATGTTATGGCCGTGCAGTGGTGGCACACGCCTTTAATCCCAGCACTTGGGAGGCAGAGGCAGGTGGATTTCTGAGTTTGAGGCCAGCTTGGAGTACAGAGTGAGTTCCAGGACAGCCAGGGCTATACAGAGAAACCCTGTCTCGAAAAACTGAAAGAAAAAAAAGAAGAAGAAGAAAAAGAAGAAGAAGAAAGAAAGAAAGGAAGAAAAAAGAAAGGAAGAAAGGAAGAAAGGAAGGAAGGAAGGAAGGAAGGAAGAAAGAAAGAAAGAAAGAAAGAAAGAAAGAAAGAAAGAAAGAAAGACTTAAAGGGCCCCAGTGTTAGGAAGGTTGAGAACCACTGGTTTAAGAGAATTAGCATACCATCACTGCTAGCCCTCTCTGTTGAGACAGGGTCTCACACAGAACACATATGCCCTAATGTCTCTACGTAGCTCAAAAGTGACTTTGAATTTTTGATCCTCTGGGCTCTGTCTCCCAAGTACTGGGTTTCTGGCATGCACCACCTTGCTCTAACTCGGGGCCTTCTGTTTCTGATGAGAGTAGCCTTCTGATTGACCCGCACTAGGTGCTGGCAATGGGCACGCTGGTCCCAACATTTCTGTGGCTCCTTCCCGGTCCTTGAAGATCTTTATGGATCCTTCTTGGCGCCTCCATTACCATTCCATGAATTTCCCTTGTATGTGCTCCTTCTTAATTAAGAGGGCAGAACGAACAGCACACAGGGTGGTCACTATACTCCTGGGACTGCACCAGGCCAGAGGTGGAGTAGGGTGGGTAGCTGAGCAGTGAACACTTCCTGCGGCTTTTCTAGCTCACAACTGGTAGGTCTGCAAGGTTCCAGTCACCACTACCACTGAGGTTTCCTGTTTGCAGCTGCTGCGCTGGGGCCAGCTGTTCCATCACCACCCGCAGCCAGCCAGTGTGTGTGAGGTTTGTTTGAGGGTGAGGGGTTGATGCTTCTTGGAAATTAGGAGGCTGGAGAAAGGTTCATTCAGAAGCCTCTGAGGAAGTGCTGCAGGGTGGAGGCAGAGAACAAGGACTCTGACAGCCTACCTCAATTAGGACAGACACAGGAGGTGTAGGACTCCAGGAGTGTCTCATCAGTTCCCTAGGCTGTCACTAGCAAACTCCATATTATTGACCTTTGAGGTCTTGGGGTGCCTAGCTTGTGATGAACATTTGCCAAGAGATCATATCAAATGCTGTCTTGTGAAGGGCGATCTCTACTGCTGGTCCGAGTAAAATCCCGGTTGCCAAAATATAGACTAAGCTTGGATCCTTGTTGGTGGATTCATACCCACTCTGCTCCACTGTCAAAGGCTCCTCAAGGAAACAAGGTGGTTCAACTCTAAACTCTAAACAAGGTGGTACCCACTCCAGGAAGTCTCCCCTTGACTGGGCTAGGTAAACTGTCTTTCCTTTGTCCTCATACACTGGTGGCGCCACCTCAGGGCATTTTACCGTTCAAGCCTTGGAACAGGAACTAGCTGGACTCAAGAAACCTCTGCTGACTAGAATAGTGACAGCCTGCCTTCTATGGCCTCCTGTCCCGAGCCCCACTCTAGAGAGGTGGGGATGGGGACTGTGTTTACCCACCTCTCCTGGTCTGGCTCTCCCTGATGAGGAAGGCCCCTCCGGGGTTCCCAGGTAACAAGAGCAGTTCCTCAGCTTTCTCCCGGCTCAGGCCCTCATACAGCCACCTGGAGGAGCAAAGAGAGGCAGGGTAGGCTTGTGGGTCTTAAGAGAATCCTTCCACACCTCTGTAGGACCTCGATGAGATCTTCCCTCCCTTCCCCTCTGAGCCTAGAAATTCTCTGTACCATGAGGAGCAGGTACTCAGCAGCTTAGAGATCTCCTCTGGCTTTGTTCTCAGGGTCCTGCTCCAGAGACTTCGGGGAGCAGGCTTAGGCTTTCCTTGCCTGGAGGCTCCATTCCCAAGTATCCTGGGCTGGTGGAGCAATGACAGTGTTGGTGGCTTCCAGTCTTTGTCCCATCACTGCCCTGTCCACCGGCTCTACTGCTGGCCCACTCACTTTTGTGAGAAGCGCTCCTTTGTGATCCCACTTCAGATTGTCCTTATAGACTGTGCCTGTCTCCTACATGTCCCCTTCAGTGTCCTCTACACTTGACCCCAGCCACCTTCCAAAGCCCGACACCGTGACACCTCCTCTATGGGGCCTTCTCTGAGCTCCTAAGACTCCTAGGCCAAGCTGAACAAGACATGAGAGTTGTTCTTTGTTCTTTTGGAGGGCAGAGTCTTGGCTCTGTTCAGCCTGTAGTCCTGCATAAAGAGAACAATGTGGAAAGAGTGGAGGAAGGTCCCCAAGGTGGAGCTGGGCCAGGTACTCACTCGTGAGAGACTTTAGCCACATACACACTGGGAATGTGATACTCTCTGCCCGAGACTTCTGACTGGACTGTCCACCAATCTCCATCCCTGTAGAGAGATCACAGAGGGCTCCACCTTCATTTGTAGTTTGCAAGCACCTTTTCCACTCATTTCCCAGAATTCCCTAAACCAGGCTACTGTGGGCTCCTCCTTGGGTGAGGGTCTGACAGGGTGGCAAATGATCCAAGGCTTCCTGTTCCAAAGCCTGACCCCACTGTCTCTCTCCCTGAAACGTGTCGCTGCCAGAAAACCACTCAGAGACATGGTCACATGGAAGCCTTTCAAAAATAGCCCTGTGCCTCCCTGCTGGTTTTGGAAGAAGCCCTTCTCCCACAGGGCAACTTCAGGGGCCCAGTGTTGTAAACTTACTCAGAAACAATGGTCAGTGGCTCTCCGAGTCTCAGAGATAGGCCGGCCTGCTCACCTGCTGGGAAACTGCCCAGGGCCACAGCTGTGACCTTGTGTCTTTCTAGAGAGAGGGATAGACACACTTACCCTCTTGGTCAGTCTTCTCTCAAATGTGAGGTCTAATTGATTTTTGCCCAGGTTCTCCTCAAACACCCCTCCTACAGGCACCCTTCAAGAGAGGGGTTAGCCCCAGAGTCTGAAATGTTTCCAGCAGGCTCTACAGAGCTTGGGAGAACCCAGAGAGCTTTGGAGGTTCCCATAAAGGCCTTCGGTTCATGTGGGTAGAGGACTTGGTTCCTGGCTGTACCTCCCTGTGTGTCTTTCTCCAGAGAGTTTGATGAAAGGATTCTACAAACTAAAAACCTACGGTCCAGAGGTAGGGGATACTGGTTAGTAGAACAGCACTTGCTTAGAATGTGCAAGGCCCTGGGTTCTATCCCTAGCACCATAGCAAAACAAAACAAAACAAAACAAATACTGCAGCTTGATGCCTGTATCACATGGATCTCAGGTGGGCCTCTGAAGGGTGGTGGGACACACAGCAGCTCTGCGGGCAGGGGAGGAACTCAGGGGGGCTAACAGCCTGGCCTGGGGCCCCAGGACTGAGAGCATAGTGACTTCCAGCATAGACATCTGCAGTCGTCAGGACACAGAAAGCAGGGTCTGTGAATGGAGGACCTCCCTTTCCAGGGTAGAGTTCTTTCCCACACACCTGACTCTGGTTTCTTGTTGCTCCTATCACAGGCCTCTGGAGAGCTGTCCGTGTGAACGGTCTCTGTAAGTCTAGAGCACGGTACACAGGCACAGAGTGGAGTCCAGTGGCCTATGCCCAGGGCAGTGAGTGCTGCCCCTGAGAAGTACCACCAGAGGCTGCTATTGCAGGCCTGACCAGGGCAAGTGCCCCAAAGAAGCATATGACTAAGTGTACCTGGACCTTGCACATCAGGCCATACTGGGGGCTTTTTCCAGCATTTTGCTTCCTACTAGACCCTTACCACAGCCCAGATTTGTGTGTGTGTGTGTGTGTGTGTGTGTGTGTGTGTGTGTGTCTATCTCCAATGTGCAGGAAGGTCTCAAGGCCCTGATGCAGCATTCAACAAGGAGAAGGGCATAATTCCAATCCCATACCACCCTGTTCACAGGCTCAGGCTGGGGAAGAAGGGAGTGTGAGGGGCTAGTTGACAAATGCACCTCTAGGGAAGGGCCTCAGCCTCCTAGGAGGTGAAGGTTCCAGTGGAGGAGTGACTGGCCTGGGTTGTGGAAGCAGAGTGAAGCTAAGGCACCAGTCACTCTAGGAATGATCAAGAGAACTCAGTGGATATGATGTCTAACTTGGAGGCTGGGCATTAGGTGGCAAGCAGAAGACAGCCCACCCAGTCTAACCATTCCTCCCTAAGCCTGCAGAGCCTGCAACTGTCTGTTGAAATCTAATCCACCTGCCTCATCTCTCTTTCCTTCTTCCTGTCCTTTCTCAGTAAGGGTCTCCAAAAGAAAGACTTGTTAGCACATGGATTCAGGATGCCAGGAAGAGCAGTCAAGGTCAACGGGAAAGGTTCTTTGTCACTAAGGCACTCCCAAGGTCCCAATGGGACTCTGGAATGCGCTCAAGAGAGTGCTAAGACCCAGGAGTAGGAGAGGAAGGACGGACATACAAGGATCCAGTAGGTAGGTGAGGACGGAAGGGTCTCTGCTGTGGGTGGGACCCAACCTGTGAACCTGCTCCCAAGTGTTCCCTCTTAGAAAGCCCCACAGCAGGAAGCTCCTTAGACCCCAGGGTCTTGCCTGCCCAGAGCCTGTTGTCCCTGCAGCCAAGAATGCCTGATGACCCCTGAGGAGGTCTCTCTCTCATAAGAATAGAACAAGGAAGCCTGGGAAGGATGCTTGCTCTCCTGAAAGCTGTGGCCTTGTATGCCTAGAGGGTGAGCCCAGTGGCCCAGCCTCACACTTTCTTCAGAAGGGCTGCTCGGACCTGCCCCTCTGCCTACTTTCATCCCTGTAACACCCTGCCACCAAGCCTAACGCAACCATCACTTGTAACGGTTTAGTTTCTGGCTCTGGGGAAGAGACTGGGACCATCTTGTCCATTGCTGTGTCTTCAGTTTCTGTCACATGGCTTGGCACCTGGCAGAGCCTCAGTAAGTTTAAGATGGAGGCAGGCCTGGGCAACAAATGACTCCTAGAATGGGCTAGTCACAACTCATATTCCTCCTGGGACCAGGCAGCTTCATTGAGAGATATCCTCCTTTCCTTGGAGACTGGATGGACGGGAGAAAGGATCCCCTGAGTGAGGCACACCTGCTGGGTGGTCACCACTCTCAGAAGCACCGGGATGACTCAGCAGCCTGCCCCTGCAGCTAGCTCAGTGGAAAAGAAGGCGGTCCCTGTGGTTTTCAGGTCTCTTCCTGAAGGTATTCCACTGCAGATGAGAGGGCTCCAGGGCCCCCAAAGGCACCCAGGATGTCACAGCCCTGAGGAGACTGGTACTAGAGAGATAAGAGGCTTAGGTGGGGAGCAGGAAGAGAAAACCCACATCTTAAAGGGGTCTGGGGGTTGAGAACTAGCAGCCTCTGCCCAAGCTCAGTTGCCAAACATCTCAGCTGTGCAGCCTCAAGGGGAGGTGATTTACTACTCTCCAGCCCCTCCTAACAGCGCTGCTAGGTTTGGATGCTCTTGTTATCACGGTTAGTTCTCTGGACCACTATGGCTCCACACAGCATTTAGATAATGTCTGGTCAAACCAATCTGGCTATTTCTGTGACGATAGTTTTCAAACAAGGCAATCCCACCCCTGTTTTGAAACGAAAGACATGCTCTTCCAGTGTATCCAGGGCTATACATAAACCATGCTTCTCCTTGCTTGGCCTTCTAAAGGAGGTATAGTACAAGCTTGTATTGCTGCAGCTAGCTTCATGTTCAACTTTAAACACGTTTTTGTACATGTGCTGAAAGCAGAACCACAAGCTTCCAATGTGCTAACCATCAAGCATTCTTAACACTGCGTTCCACTCCCAAGCCCTCACATTTAATGTTCTAGCCACTACTGCGGGCTCAACAGAAGCTGGAAGCCTGTCTGGCTCACTGGGAAGGGTATTCATAGGCTTTCACTGAAACTTGGGCTTTTATTGGGGGTGGTTGGTCAAAGACCCACTGAGGTACTGAGATTTAGGTTTCTATAGCCTCATGATACTTGGTAAGGGCCTGGGGGCCCCACAGACATCACCTACCTGATTGTATGGACACGGGTTCCTGGCCTGGACCAGAGGAACTGGAGCTGGGGCTGGAACTGGGGCTGGAGCTTTTCCCTCTGCTGAGCAAACTTCCCATCATTCCTCAGCAGACTCTCAGAAGCACACCAAACCTGAAAAGGGAGCTGCTATGTAGACAGAGCCCTGGATCCCAGCTTGAACTCAGATACTTGACTGTCACAGGGGGATGACCTGATCTGCCAGAGCCAAGGAAAAGGCACCACAAAACTGAAGTATCTCAACAGCCAGCCTCTCAGGACCTTGCAAGTTATCACCATGTTGGACTGACTAACATAGACTCCAAATCGGACCGTGGACAAGTTGGAGGTGATTTTCTCTGTCCCATCCTTTCTAGGCAGTGGCCTTTCTCCATCCAAGTCTTCTGAGCCCTTTCTTATGACCCTGCCCATGGGTTATTCCTCCTTTTCCATTCCCTTTGTGTCTGTTTGGACCCCACCCTTTCTTAGGAAGCTTCAGCATTTCTTGACGATCCTCTGAATTCCTGTGGACTGGAGAACCGTCCACTCCTTAGGCCTAGGGTCACATTCTGCTAGGTGGTAGCAGGGATAGTCAGAAGACACTGAGCTCTCTGTGAGCATCCCAGGGACCATGGCTAGGGTGAGAGATGGGCCAAGGAGGAGCAAAAGGTCTGGGGATGGGAGTCACAAGCAGAAGCGACACTGAATCGTCAGTGCCAATGGCACTGGGCAAGACTGCTGGAAGTCTGTCAGTCTATGTGACACAGTGGTGGCTTGCAAGGCTCTGAGGGACTGACTGGTCACTTCCCTTCTTGGTGTCCCTTTCCTCATCTAAGAACTAGGGATAGCCACACCCAACATTTGGGTCGGGTAGATAGTGGCTGGAAAGCCAGCCATGGGACCACACTTCCTTCCTGGTCTTGAATATTCTCTGTGACAAATTCCTCCAGGAACTCATCCTTTTCACTTTTCTGTTGTGTTCATTCTGTTTCTTTTTGTTTGTTTTTGGTTTGTATGAGATTATGAACTGAGGACTATGTTCCCTGGGCTGACTCCAAATTCTTGGGTTCAAATGATCCTCTTGTTTCTTAGCCCTGTGACTGTCAGCAGACTCAGTTGGCGTGTTTGTTCAGTCTGCCATTACCCTCTAGTCCCGTCCCTGGCCTCAGCATTCAGTTAGGCCACCAAAGCCATCGGCACACATCAACAGAGTGAGCCAAAGAGAGCAGTGTGCTCTGCAGTGTTTTGTCCTCAGACTAAGCAGATCCTTGGTTTCTAGATAACGCTGCTTTTCCAACACTATGGTAAGCCTTGCAGTGAGGGGGCTGGGT